CTCCAGCATGGCTACACCCCCCAAACGCCCTGTTCCCTCCTGGAAAAGCCTTAGTCCCCTCTGGAAATCACTCGCCTTTGAACTTCTAACCAGAAAAGTCCCTTTGCTTTCAAAGAAATCCTCCTCTTGATGGTGAATTTTTACGCTAATCGCTGTTGCAAAATGGGTTGCTAAAGAGACTTCTCTGCCTTTGCCCAGCAGGCAACACACCCTCGTTAGGTGGCTTTAATTGGTCTAAGGGCACTGCTGCTCCAAGCTAGGTTTAGCAAATGCCCTTTAAAACCAAGCCCCCAGATGCTTTATCACGGCTCTCTCTGATTTGTGCCTCCCGCTAGTAGTGTTTGAGCAGTCGAGGATTTATCAGCAAGGAATTTTTACCCCTGAAAACCTGACGCCAAGACGTCGATGTCAAAAGACAAGACTCCATAGGAAATGCTATGATTAATTAAAGAACAGGGCAAAAAGAAAATCGGTTTTCTTCAGATAGCTGCTCCTCGGCTGTACGGCGATAGCTTTTTGTTTTGTCCCCCATCCCTGCTTGCTCTTATTAGAAATTAAAACCTGACTCTGAACTGCTGGAAGATTAATAGGAAGCTGAGAAACCCAGTCCTAGGAAAGGAAACTTAATCGAGATGAAAAGTGACACTCACTCTTTGAAGTTTTGGGGTTTTTCCAGTACAATTTTAGGTCGTCTCCTTTCGGGGAGGGTTCGTCAGTGCTCCCCAACCCTCGTTAGTGTTTGCCATGCTTAGAGCGTATGAGGCGGTTGCTGCTTCCTCTAGCACAAAACCAGTTCTGTTACTCCAGACAAAAAACACACCAGGGAGAACAAAAGGACAGAGTATGAGGTACAAAAGCCAAAGATAACTGCGGTCTCCTTGAAGCCCAGGAAGTCCTTAATACACTTCTCATCAAAACACTTTTCCTCCTCTGCTGGATGGTGGCTGGGATCTCGGAGCAGATCCTCTCATTAAAAGACAAGCTTAGCAGTAGGGAAAACAGAAATTAAAATGAGATGTCGTTGCAGGATAAGAAGTAATCTGTAACGTCATGAGAAGCAAAGAGGAGGTTGCTCAGGTGGTGTCTAGCAGAGCAACCACACCCCAGCATGCCAGCTAGATCAGGGAAATCCAGGTTAAATACAACCCTAGGGAAAGGGGGAAGGATTATGTTGAACCCAGAGCTCTTCACCTGTCTTACTGCCGGCTCAGCCCCACCGATGTGTTTACCAGCACAGTGCCAAGGGTGATGAACTGTAGGAAGGTCTTAAACTACCCTTGCTGCTGAGAGGGAGGTAAGTAGCCACAGCCCAGGCTCTCCCAAAACACCCAAGCAAACACACACAGACAGTGGAGGGGCAAAATGAGGGTCAGGGTCGTTCCCCTCCTTCCTATGCTGCCCAGAGAGGAGAGCAGCCAGTGGGCCAGGGCATCCCCCTGAGCACCAGCCCTCCCTGGAAAACCCCTTCCACCACTTGGATGGAGCCAAAATGGCATCAAGCTGCTTGCCAAAGGGGATTCCCAACGTCACTGCCACGGTGGCACACTGCCTTTCTCCCGGTTCCAGAATAAAACTCAAACCAAACCGCGCACTTGTCAGCATCGCCGTCTTTTGCGTAGGTGCACGCTGCAGCGGGTGAAATCAAGCAGAAAGCGGTCTTGGGGAGCCAGCAAGTCTGGGGACAGCTCCAGCAGTGGTGTGTGTGATAGTGAGGAGGCCCTATGGGCTGATTTAATCGTATTTTTAGGAGGTGATTTGGGCTGGGGAGGAGCGTGGGCAGAGGGGAGGTAGGAAGGCAGGATGGCGGGTGCAACCAGGGCAGCATCGGGGGAATTCAAGGGCAGGGCTGTGCTGGTCCAGAGGGCACCCGGTGCTCCTTGTCCCTTCCCCCAAGGGACAGAGCAGAGCTGCTAGAGCCAGCAAGGTTGAGCACCCCAGAACGCTTCCCGCACCTGAGGCTTTTACGTGGCATTTCTTTACACAAAGAAAAGCAAATAAGCTCAAGCAGGGCGTCGCTGGGAGAGCAAACACGCACCGACCAGGCAGGCAAACACCGGCTGGAAAACAAAACCGGAGCCTTGTGACGCTTCCTGCAGCAGGGACCCC